AAGTTCAGGCAGAACACGACAAGTCCTCAGAGTAAAATTTCTTCAGGATGCTTAAGATACTTAGACCCACCTGTGAGCTGATTTAACCTTCCTGCTTGGAAAGAGGAAGCTTCCTTTACCAAACTGGGCACAGCCGGGAGGTGGAGCAGCGAGAGCACTGCGGGCTCTGCCTTCCCCTCGCGTGTGAGAGACCGATTTAAGCGCCTGTGCCGGTATCTCCTCATTGGGAGTCTATTAAAAGCCGTTCTGAGCAGGGAGCACAGGCTGCTCCTGGGTAAGGAGGAGCTTTCACAGCACTGTGTGCGGTGATTCCTGCAATTCCCGGGCCCAAACTGTGGTGTGGTGTGATTGACCTTCAGGTCTGACATCACCCATAAATGTCTGGAGACCTCTAGGTATAACCTTGGTTGTTACACTGAAAAATGTCTAGATAAGTATTTTATCAGAACAGATATAGAACAGGAAAAAAACAGGAAAAGTAAAGCCCTGTCATGAGAAAGGGAATACCAGCAGAGCTCCAAATGTAGGAATTGGTTGAAGCCTGTACTGTGATGCTCTTTTGTATTACTTTGTTTCTGCTTTAAAGTTAAAAAAATTGAATTATTGACTGCCCTCATCGATTCAGGCTGAGCACAATGTAAAGTGCATCCCTAGCAGTAAAGCCACAGTGGGTCAGCCTGGGAAGGCAGCTCTTGTCTGTGTAACTCAGTTACTTTTTATCTGATTGTATGAGTATGCTGCATGTGCAGACCAAAATGTTTTGCTTTCTAACTGGAAATGCTTTTAAAGCAGTCCACTTACCTAAACATTATTTCTAATTCTTGTGTTTTTTCCACAGAATATGTATATAAAAATGTCTTTGATATATATCATATGTATACACTTTAATACAAATTATATATATAAAAATCTATTTAAAATAATGTATTCATAGTGATGGTGAAATACAAAATGAAAATCAAATCTCTCCTTCCTTCATCCCTTCCCTGCAGGGTACATGACTTTTTTTTCCCCTCTGGCTCTCCAGGCATTCAAATAATTTTATAACTACACCAAACAAATTGTGTCTTGTTTTGATGCCATGTGGTGCCATTTGGACATTTATCTTTAATGATGTAAAAATCCTCTGTTGATTTGGAGCCTCCCTCTGTGTGAGTTCGTCAGCTCTGCAGTGCACCTGGGAAGCATCACTGAGTCTTGCTGCACTTGGCATTCCCATTTTAGTTTCCAGATCTCTGCCTTTGAAAGCCTGACTCTTAAAAACTTCTTGACAACCTTTGGCCATCCGAGCGTGTTTCGCTCACGTGTGCTAAATATATATATATTTTTTTTTTTTTTCCATTTGTGCTGCAGGAATAGGGAAGAACGTGCTCTGTGAGAAAGCTGCTACCTCGGTGGATGCCTTCAGGATGGTGACGGCTGCCAGGTATTACCCCAAGCTGATGAGCATCGTTGGCAACGTCCTGCGTTTCTTGCCCGCCTTCGTGAAGATGAAGCAGCTGATAGAGGAGCACTACGTGGGCAACGTGATCATCTGCGACGTCCGGGTGTACGGGGGCAGCCTGCTCAGCCACAAGTACAACTGGATCTGTGATGAGCTGATGGGAGGCGGGGGGCTGCACACCATGGGCACCTACATTATCGACCTGCTGACTCACCTCATCAGCAGGAGGGCAGAGAAGGTGCACGGGCTGCTCAAGACCTTCGTGAAGCAGAACACGGCCATCAGCGGGATCCGCCACGTCACCAGCGACGACTTCTGCGTTTTCCAGATGCTGATGGGCGAGGGGGTCTGCTGCACCGTGACCCTCAACTTCAACATGCCCGGGTCGTTCATCCACGAGGTCATGATCGTGGGGTCCGCCGGGCGCCTCATAGCCCGCGGGACGGACTTGTACGGGCAGAAAAACACCGTGCTCCAGGAAGAACTGCTGTTTACAGACTCGCTGAGCGTCAACAAGGGCCTTTTGGACAAGGGCTTTAAAGACATCCCGCTGCTTTACCTAAAGGGAATGGTGTACATGGTGCAAGCCCTGCGGCAGTCCTTCCAGGACCAGGATGACCGTCGGACGTGGGACCATAAACCTGTGTCTATGGCAGCCTCTTTCGAGGATGGCCTGTACATGCAAAGTGTGGTGGAGGCCATCAAGAAATCGAGTAGGTCGGGCGAGTGGGAGGCTGTGGAGGTGATGACCGAGGAACCAGATGCCAACCAAAACCTCTGTGAGGCTCTTCAAAGAAATAACTTATGAATATTCCTGCCTTGGAAAATAGGACGATTAACACTTCTGGCTGTAATGTAAAAAAAACCCCTCTGTTTTTAAGATATGTATATTCTTATTTAATAGCCTGCATTTCTTGGTTTTTTTAAAACGTGTAAAATAATGTTCTGATAGGAACTGTTCTGGTTTAAATTGTTTAAAAGAGTTTTAAATGTTTCTGTTTTTAGCAAACATTTAATTTTTTGTCTTGGAGACTGGTAGGAAAACTTGAATTGCCCTTTGCACTTGCAGTAGCTGAAGTGAATCATGGGATCTCTGCCATTGCACGGCTTGGAAATGGGACACAACCCCTGTTGCACAGGTCTGATTTAACCATGAGAGCAATGTAGAGCATGTAGAGCAAGATCAGGGAGTATCTGTTGTTCAGATGCCTTTTTCTTCTCTCGGAGACTGATGTACATTTTAATCCTCGGTTTGTAAAATTTTATAAAACAGTTTAGTGATGTAACAGGTCTCTAAACTCCCATAGGACAAAAAGTAGAAGGAATGGATTAGAGTTTGTAACATAAGGATCAGCCTTTTGGCTTCCTGCACGTGGCAGATGTCTTTCAAATTCATTTAAACTGGTGTTTTATTTAAATTATACTACAATTCTCTGTTGTTGGTGTCTTGGCAGGAAAACCTTCAGGAAGTCTGTGATACATTGTGCTATTCTTTCATATCTGTAGACGTTATTCCTTCTACTCAAGAGGCTGCCTGCATCCAGCAGCTCTTTTTCCATAAGCTGTGTGTCTGTCAGTTGTGTTTACTGCCTGGCAGCCCTGGTGCCGTGCCTGTGGGGCCACGTTCTCATTTCTGTGACTATTAATAAATGCCTCCCAGGGGTCACAGGATTGCCACAGTGTCGTGGGTAATGAAGTTGTTCAGCATTAGCCTTCCTGGGGCCCGAAGGTGGAAGGAAGGGAGGTATTTCCTACCTCTTGCAGCTCTCTTAACGTGCTGGCTGGGTCACTGTCACACTACACACATCCTGATCGTTGAGAGAACAGGGACTGAACTGCCATGGGTAAATCTGCTCCCGATCTCAAACACTGGCTGTTAACCCTCTGGTCCTGCCCATCTTCATGTCCTCCTGCAGCTTGTGTCCAGTGGAGAGATTTGTTGGCAGGTGGAAGTTCATTCCTTCTGGGAAACGTTTCTCTCTGAGGCAGGTATGTGGAAAGGATAGTCCAATTTTAACTATGTTTATTTTGTGTACTTGAAAGCTTTTTTAAACAAAATGTTTTTCCCACTAAATTGTAACCCCGTGTATTTATGGATATTAACATGCACGCTGCTGTTTGATAAGCTGGACCTTCCTGAAAAGTATCATGTTTTCTACAGAAATAAAAAATTGTGTTTGTTGAGGGCATTCTTTATGCACCTGTGTGCTCGTGTTTGATTTGGTCAAGCTACAGCCATCCTAATAAAAGTGAACAGGAGACTTAGAGTTGGGACTCAGTACCTGGTGAGTCCTTCCCTATTTCTGTGCTCCTTTGCTGCCAGTTGGGTTTGCTTGGGTGTGGAAGAAGCTGTGTGATACCTGGCAATACAGCACTGTGCTGTCCTAGCAAGTGCTGTCCATTTGTCACCAAGGGCAAGTAAGTCTCATCAGGAAATTTATTTCCCCCCTCCTTGCTGTTTCCCTCAAACCACAGCTGTTGAGTAGCTGGTTTTGGAGATCCTCTTGCCCATCTTGGACTAAACACATCAATTTCTGTTAAAAAACCAGGATCTTTATTCTGCCTGACTGATTGTAGAAGTTGCTGGAAGACCCCAAGTAAGAAGCAAAATCCTTGCAGTGTTGATGGGACCACTTTCTTTGCTCAGTGTGTAAATCAGGTATTTACCTTTGGGTATTTACACAGTAAAACTGACAGAAACAGGTCTAGTGATGTGCTGTTTTAAAGTGTAGGAGCGTGGTTGCTGGATATTAGGAAAAGGTTTTTCAGCCAGAGGATGGTTGAGCAGTGGAACACACTGCACAGGGAAATGGTCACGGCACCAAGACTGACAGAGTTCAAGAAGCACTGGGACAATGCTCAGAGAGGCACATGGAATTCTTGCGGTGCCCTGTGCACGGCCTGGAGTTGTACTTGATGATCCTTGTGGGTCCCTCCCCACGCAGGATGTTCTGTGATGGTACATTTCCATGATTCTATTCACTCTTCCCAGCTGTAGCAGGAGGGGCAGCGAAAGCTGCATCTCTGCCAGCCTTCCTTTAGGGGTACAGGTCTGATGTTCCTGCCATAGCTCTGAGCATCTAATGCCTATGGTGTCTGTGTACTATGTAAAATGGGTGAGATGATGTCTCCCGAGCTCACCTGGAAGTCACCACCTTCATTTAGATAGCACAGCTCTGGCTGATTTCATGCCAGTTTTGGCTCTGTTACGAAGTTGCCCTCCTTGAACTGAGAACCTTTGTCAGTACGTTTGTATTGGGAAAAAAAAATTCTAAAGTAGAGTTCCTATAGGAGAAGAAGGAAGCACAAAACATCCCCGGATGATCCCAGCGAAGGAAGCAGGATGCCAAGACTCCTTGGGCGAGCGAGAGACGCGACCGCGGAACCGCGCGGAGAGCTGAACGGGGCGCGCAGGAGCGGCGCTTCGGACGAGGCGGATCCCAGCGCCGCGAATCCCGCGTTTCCCCGTGCCGTCCCCGTTTGTCCAACGCGGCTGTCGCGCACCGGAGCCCGGGGCCGGCCCGGGGGGTCAGCGCCCTGCGGGGCCCAGCGGCGGGGCCGGGCCCGCCCATGCCGGCGGAAGCGGCGGTTGCCGGGGCAGCGGCGGGGCCGGGCCGGGCCCTCGGTGCCGGCGGGCGGGCCCAGCCCAGCCCGGCCCGGCGGGGAGCGCTTCTCCGCCGCCTCCCTCGGTGAGTCCTCTCGGGGGAGGGGGTGAGCTCTCTCAGGGTGCTCCCGGGGCCGCCCGCCGGGTCTCGGGATCAGCGGAGGCCGGGGAGGGCTGGAGCCGGGCGGGAAGGGCCGGGGCAGGGGCAGCGCCCGCGGGGAAAGGCGGGGAACCCCCGGCCGCCCTCGGCACCCCGGGACAGCGACCCCCGGCCCCTCTCCCCGGGGGAACGGGGGATGGAAGGAGCCAGGAAGGGTCCCCAGGGGTGTCCCGTGTTGCTCAGCGGGTCCTGGCTCCCCGCAGGTGCCCCCGGGGCAGGGTTGGTGCCGGTGCCGGTGCCGAGCCGGCCCGGCCGGAGGGGCTCTGGGCTGCGGCACCGGCTCCAGGCTCCATCGCCTGCTGCACGTCGGGTCCTGTAATCGCAGCACGGGGCCCGTCCCCGCGTCCAGGAGGAATCCCACGCGTCGAGGTGACGCCGGGCTGTCGTCATCTGCCCTTGCTCCTCTGGGAGAGGACTGGGCTGCAGCTCTGCTGAATACCCACATCAATCTCTGCCCGCCTTCCACCGCCGAGCACGGCCCTCGTTCACCTCCGGCTCCAGCTGCTGCAGGTCACACGTCTGACTCCCTGGGCAGGCTGGCTTTGTTCCTGAAGTGCTGTTGGTGGATACCTGGCCAGCTCCCAGGAAACATGTTCAGCATGCAAACGCCAGCGTCGCGCTTGGCTGTACCTGCCCCTCTGTTTTCAGAGGGACAAAAGAGAACCTGGGTCTCTGAGACTGGCAGGTGGGGAAGAGCTGGTGAGACCTGGGAAACAGCATGGGGAATAGTATTGAAAGGAGAATATTGACCTCTCTCATTGCAGTCAGCAAGCTTAGGCAGGGACTGGCACCGCTTGGGTAGGTCCACAGCACGTGGACCTCATTTCCTGACCCCTGATTCTGCAGGAGGAATGGCTGCAGATCCAAGTGCTCCCCTGTTTTGGCGCAGCCCTCAGGCGTGGAAGTTATCCTGATGTGACTTTTCATTTCAGCTAAAACTGTTGATGAAGGAATCAAGCATGCAAGACCAGCTGCACGGAGATTAGCCCTTTGATTTGCTGCAGATGACTTGTTCTGCTTATCACAGCTTATCGCAGCCGTGGGATGATTTTTCCCATGCTTTTTGCAGAGATTGGCTCACGAAGGCAAGGAGCTGGGCTGATGTCAGCTCTGTGTGTGGTAGCAGCTTCCTGGCCAGGGACCCAGGAACAGCGAAAATGTCGTCTGTGAAGAAGAGGGAATGCTTCCAAGTCAGATGCAGTGGGTTCAAGGTTGTGAAATACATCTGCCCCAGCCTTGGCTGTTCCCGTGTTTTGTAGTTTACTTTGATGCCAAAAACAAGCAAGAAAAGGAAGCCGTGGTTCTTAACTGGCTCTGAAAGGTCTCAGTTGGCCAAGGAGATAAGCAGCATTTTTACCACTTGGTCAGCTGCAGCAAAGGGCACAAAGAGTCGAGTTAATGGTTACTAAACTTGCAGGGGTGCTCTGAGAGAGAGAGGGCTGGAGCCTGCATTGCTTGACTCCTAGGCCAGCATTAAACTGTGGTCCTGGGGGGGGAAGTGAGCAGCCTGCCAGGCTCAGCCAGGCTGAGTGAGCAATGCTAAAGTTGCTGGGTTACCCTGTGCCTCCTGTGCAGGGCAGGGAATGGGGCTGGGGCAGCCTTGGGGCTGCTTTTCTAGTGAGTGTACAGGCTGGCACGGGGTAAGAACAGAGAGGAGTTGCACACATGTATCTGTGTACCTGGACTTAACCAGCCTGTTCTGCAGAGTCTGCCTGCATCTCACAGCCTGTGAACGCACTAAGTGGTGCCTTTCTGGTGGGAGCAGGTCAGGTATTGCATTGTTGATGTTTAGGTTTCTAACGTGGTGATAAGAGGAGATGCTGTCCTGGATGCAGACAGTGATCAAGTCAGCCCACAAGGGCTGACCCTGTTCCCTCTTCCCTCTCCTCTGTGCTCACAAGCACATGCTCCTGCTGTGTTTCCCTGGTGCTTGATCCAGTGCTTCTATGACCCCCATGTGCAGGGAAAAGCCAAATTACTTCTGGATAGGAGGTTACACAGGTAGAGAACGAACCCAGCAAAGGAAATGACTTGTTTGATGGAGGGTTAGTGAGTGGAACTGGCTCAGCACAGGACAGTTGGTGCTGCAGAGCTGCCCCAAGAGACCAAGCAGGCAGGAATGGCAGCAGAGGAGCTCCACACATCCCCACTTGGCAGAAGTGAGCCACGAGGTTCTCTCACTCGTGTCCCCCAAGCAGGCCCGTGGTCAGCAGGAGCAGAACAGCAGCTTGGGAATTCTGTGCCAGTGGTTGGTAACTGAGGTTTGGCAGCTGCTTCCCAGGGCTGGGAGACTGGCACTGGGGGCCTGTGTCCCACGTAGGGGCGTTTGCTGTAGGTACCCAGATGGGCAAGATGCTTACTGTTGTAATGAGGTTGTCTGGTCCTGCCTGATCCCAATCCAGAGGTGATGTGACTTGCAAATCAGGGAGTGGGTGTCATTTGCAAATTCCCTGCAGCAGGGCAGGGTGCAGTTGGGATGTGAAGGCATAAAACGAGCCTTCCATCCCCCGCCTCCCATCAACCTGCCTTTCCTCCTTCAATCCCCAGCAATAATTGTCTGCTCTGTTACAGGTCTTGATTTCAGCCTGTCATTTTGCGTGTAAATTACTGGGTTGGAACGCGAGTTCAGATCAAGATCAGATGTGCATTTCAAGGCCAGTAGCTGTTCTGGAGTGATCTCATGGTGAATGTTTTTTTTTTTTTTTCCCCTTTTTTTTTTTCTAGAATAAGAGAGCCTGTTCTGGCTTAGTTGGATCCATTATCAAGGAGATTAAATAATACCAAGCCAGCATCCTTTTATCTCCGGCTGAGAGTCTGTGCCTGCTTTTCAGAAATAGCTTTCCCAGAGCAGCTGGGTACAGGCTGCACATGCAATGCTGGTGTGCAGCACTCAGCATTGCTTACATTGCTGCTGTGTCCAGGAGATGAATAACAGCGTTTTGCTAATGGGTCTCATGTCAACAGGGGTGATTTACCAAGGAAGACTGCAGTGCATTAGTTGCCATGACTCAGACTCACTCAGCCTTGTACCGATCGTTTATTGGTTTATAAATTAAACTGCAGATGCTGCGTCCCGTCAGTGCCGGCACGCCGAGGATCCTGAAAGGGGTTCTTCCTGGAGAGTTGGCTCAGAAACCTTTAAATGACCGCCTCAGGAGTCAGGGCATGCAGGTTGTAGCCCCAGCTCTCACAGCAGTGACTCCAGCCACTGCTACGGCTGTGGCCTGGCGCCTGTCAGGATCATGGTGTGACTGCTGAGAGCTCACCAGCAGTCTGTGCCTGCTGGGGTGGCATCCTCCATCCTCGTGTTCCTGAGCAGGGAGCAAGTCCCTCGGGTTCCTTGTAGGCACAAAAATGCTGTCCAGGGGATTTTGGTGAGCGGCACAGCTCCTGTCTTCCTTCCTGCTGGAAGGGTCTTTTCCCCTCCTGTCATGGTGAGGGGAAAAACAGCAGGGATCAGTGTGGGCCAGGACAGGGACTTGCAGATCTGTGCTGCACTGAAAAGTACTTTAGAAATTAGAGATACTTTTTTCGAAGCAGATGACTCTGTTCTCCCCAAGACCTGAGAAACCAGCTGGGTTCTTCCCCATAAGCACAATATCTGCCCCTGCACGATCCTTCAGTGAAGTGTTTTATCTTGGTTCCTTTTAAGGTTCATCCCCAGCCTGCTCAGGGGTGGTGACAACACAGGTGTGTTCTCAGCGTGGATACAGCCTGGTGGAGCAGGGGCTTCAGCTTCCTCTGGGCAGGTTGTGTTTGAACCACAGGAGCCATTCAGAGGGAGCCCAGGGTGCAAGATAATTCAAATCTCAGGCCAAAACCTGTCAGATGATGGGCAGCTGCCTTGTGTTTCCTGTTTACTGAAGGCACACAGGGAGCTGAGCTGCTTTGTATGTTTGTATTAAATGTTTCTGTATGGGAGAACAAAGCCAGGAAGGATTTTCTGTTTTGAAGGTACTGATTTTTCAGCAACCATGAACATTTCAGGTTCAGTGCTGGTAAAAATGCTGATTAGACCCACAGTAGGGGCAGTGCTGCTGGACCCCTTGTTTCACCTCCATGGGGTCCAGTTCGGGGTGCTTTCTTACTTGCAGGTCATCTCTGTAGCTGGGGGTGAGCTTTCTAACAAAGGTCAGAAGTTCCCCTATACATATTTATATTTATATTTATATTTATATTTATATTTATATTTATATTTATATTTATATTTATATTTATATTTATATTTATATTTAATGTAGCTTTCCAGTGGCTCAGTGAGGCCTGTTCCTTTCTGTTCTCAGTGCTGGTTGGTTTCTGTGGCAGAGGCGGGGCAAGGTGTGGCAGGATGTGTGAAGGGCCATCCAGGATTTCTGGCCCCATTCCTCCAGACCCTACACTTTTTCCAGAGTATTACAAACGCCCCTTCTCAGGTGAGTCCTTGATGCTTGTTACAGATGTGTGGGTTTGGGCTTTGGCATGACAGCTGGCATGTTTGATGTCCTTATCCTTCGGTGTCCTTGACAGTCTCCATTCACGTCGGTGCAGGCGCTTCTGCTGCCTCAAGGATGGTGATCCTAAGGGACATCTGTGCAGCTGGTTGAAAAAAATGGGAAAGTAGAGGTGCAGAAGGGCTTTTCAGGCTGTGAGTGAAGAAAACTATGAGATGATCATTTCCTGATAAGGGTCTCCTTTTTCTTTTCTCTGTAGCTCAAGGGAGGCTGGAAGGAAACACTCACAAGCTGTATTTGACCTCTGGCCCCCTGGACCCAGTGCCCAACCCGTGCTCTGTTTTGGGCAGTGCCCGCCAGGCCCAGCCAAGCCCTCGCATTCGCCCCAGTGGGAAGGACTTCCTGGAGAAGGGACGGAAGGGGACACTCGGCCTCTTGCTGCAGCTCCAGGGGATCTCCCTTGACGGGGGCCTGCCAGGCAAGAGTAAGTACAGCTGAGTCACTGCTGGCCTGAGTTGCCCTTTGGGCCAGGGATGGAATTGGGTGGATTCCTTGGATCTGCTGCCTGAGGAGAGCTTGAGTTTCACAGAGCCAATTGCCTCATCTCCAGCGTTTGGGCTGGCAGTGGAGTCACCTGTGCTGGATAGGTGCTGTTGTGGCCTCCATGGCTTCAGTCTGGACCCTTCAAGAGGGACTTAAGTCAAAGTAATATATATGGATCAAGTGAAACCTTCATGTATAGAGGGTGTTTAACATGGCAAGTTCCTTGTTGGTGAAGCCAGGATTTGGGAACAGTGTCTGTGTAGGTGGATACTGAGAACATCTTTGCAGAAGATGTTCCCCTCTCCAGGGATGTCACCCAGAGTGCATTCAGAGGTCCAGGAAGGAGCTAAGGCTGAGCCCTGGGTGTCATTTGGTTTGTTTCATGTGCTGGCATTGCCCCCAGCCTGGGGCCAGCGTGGTGGATGCCAGCTGGTGGCTGCCACAACTGCTGTGCCCATGCAGGAGGAAAATGGACAAGGGTTTGGTTATGTCAGCTGAGATCTTCCCTGTCTTGGGAAGCCCAAGGAAGGATCATTTTTTATTCAAAACAAACAAAAACAAAACCAAATTCCATAACCTTGATGATATCCACTTGAAGGTGGGACAATGGCTGACCCTGAATCCAGGAACAGTGCAAGTTTACAGGTCTGCAGCTGCCATTAGCCAGCCCTCTCTGCTTCCTCACCATGGCATGCTGATTTCCACAGGATGGGAATTGGCCTTGCTCTTGGGAGGATGCTGGCATGGCTTGCCTGGCATAGTCCAAACTGGGACAAGTGGGCCACTGAGAACAAGGGAGGCTGTGAACACCAGCAGTGTGCACAGACCTGTGCTGATGCTCATCTGAGCACTGTGGGATCCCCTGGCAGAAGAGTCAGTCCAGGAATGTGCAGCTAGCGAGGGAGGGATGCAGAGATGAGATGGTCTGCAGGAGAGGGCAGAGCTTCCTGGTTCTGTGGACTGTTGGATCACCTTTGGAGACAGAGCTGTGTGCTCTGGTGCCAGTGCTCCAAGAGCCTGCACCCCTGGGCAGTGTCTGGGAGGTGAAGGTGTGTCTCCCCTTGCTGTGCAGGGAAAGAGCCCAAGGACTACGAGAAGGAAAATGTGAGGCGGATAAAGGAGATTCAGAAGAGGTGCAAAGAGAAGGAGCGAGCCCAAGAGCACAGCCAGCCCAAGCCTGTGAAAGCTCTGTGGAAATCCCAGAAGTATGACAACGTGGAGTCAAAGGTGAAGGCCAAACTGCAGGTTGGTACCCATGGAGCTCTTGAACTCTCCTGGCTTGGGATGGGGGGATGATGGAGACTGGGGAGTCCCAGAACCGACAGGATCTGGGGGCATCTCGGTGCTGAAGTGGCACAGGCAGATGTGGCAGCAGAGTGAGAGTGTGTGGTCTGGGTCCAGAGAGTGAGTGCTGCAATAATCTGTCTGGTCAAGGAACCCCCCTTGCAGGGGAGGCAGAGAAGAGGGAAATCTCATCACACCTCTGTGGTGGGTTCCAGGTGGTTCCCTCTCCCAGCCATTATTCCCTGCCTAGGGATGCTCCCAGGGACACAGGGAGCTTGTGCAGATGGTGGGTGCAAGCTGAGCATGAGCTCCTGCACAAGCCTTCCCCCAGTACTCCCTTGCTGAGCTGGAGTCTTCAAGTTCCTCCTTATCTCTGCATTGCATCCCTTTCATCTGTGGCCAACTTTTGATGCTCAAATGATTTGTGCTGATAACAACTTCAAAAACTGGCAAGATGATTCCCAAAGCAGTGGTCCCACATGCCCTGTCCCTTCCTCCTGCTGTGCCACCAGCCTCTCTGATGTCAGTGACCCCTCCACACAGGGGAGCAAACCCACGTGTGCTTCAGGAACGCGAGCCTACGCTCCTTTGACAAATCTGAGGGAGATTGAGATCATTTCTCCCTTTGTTTTGGGGGGAGGGGGTGGTCTCTGCGCAGGCAGTTTCTGCGTGGTGCGTTACATGTGCTCTGTGGGTTCCTCCAGAGAGGTGACAGGCGGCCCTGGCGCTGACTCAACGTAGCTTTAACTGTTGCTGTGGCTCCCCTGGAGCTGAGGTGTTCCCTTTGAAGGATCTCCATCCTCTGTGAAGCTGCTGCTGCTCAGAGTTTAAGCTGATTCTGTTAGATCTTGAGGACTAACAAAGAGTTTCTTTTCTCTCATCTGTCCCTGAGGCTGTTGACTGTAGAAGCTGCCTCAGAAAGGGCTCTGGCAGTCCCAGTGCTCTCAGGGAGCAGAGTGCTCACAGGCTGACCTGTGGCAGGTCAGCCCTCCCCTGGATCCATGGAAGTGGGGTGACTTCTGGGAGTTCAAGGTGTCTAATGTTGCCAGCAGGGGAGGTGTGTCTCTCCCTTGTGTCTCCTGCCTTTCAGCACATTTACCCCACGCTGCCGTTTGTTCTTCACAGCAAGGTTGCTGGGTTTTGAGCAGCCATTATCACTGTCAGTGTGGAATGCCCTTGGATTTAGCTTGTCCCTCACTCCAGTAGGTATCCTTTGGGTTATCTGGTGTTGCTCTCCTTTTATGCCTACTGGATTAGTCAGTAAAGAGGGATTCTCCACTCAATGCTGCACATGCATTTGATCCAAATGCGTGTTTCTGCAGATTTTCCTCTCTTTTTTTTTAGCAATTCTTCACAAAGTTCTGTTGCCAGGGCTGGATTTGTTGCTTTGTTGGCCTTTGCTGGCTGACTACTGATTGCCTTCCCCCAAGAACTTGTGCAAAGTCATGGCACACGCTGCCGTGTGCCTGCTGGAAACCTGTGTGGCTCATGGCTGACGACCCAAACTTGGTTGGATGGGTTTCTCTTTGCTCCAGTCTCCCTCCAATAGTGGATCTTTCCTTGCCTTCCCCAGGAGACCTCCCCACCTCCAAATCCTGAGGCTGGGAAATTCCTGAGAGCGTATTCTCGCTGTGGCTCTGGGATCAAGCCCTGCAGACTGCTCTCCCCAAGGCCTGTCAGAGCCAAAAGAGCAGACACAGAGACTCCAGAGGCACAGGGTGCTGAAAGCAAGGTGAGTGGCACACTAACTGCGTCCATCCCAGGGATTTCTGGCACCCATGCATCCCAGTGGTTTCCTGGTTGGGTATGTGTGCCCAGAGGGCCCTTGATCCCTCTCTCTCCCTTCTTCCAGATCCAGGTGGAGGGCAGGAGCATCGACTTCATCAAGCACAACGCCTGCAATGCCAAGCGGGCCCCGCTGCGCCGCTCCCAGTCCCTGCAGGCACTGGCCGAGCTGCTGGCACAGAAGCACCGGGAGCAGGAGGAATACAACACCAAGCAAAAGGGCCATGTCCCCCAGTAGTATGTATGACCCACCCTGTAACAGCCTTCACTGCATCCCCCAGCTTCTGCATAGAGAGACAGGGGCTGGGGACAGAGCTGCGCTCACCGTGCGCAGCAGCGCCATTGACTGTGTCCTGGGGAATAAACACTGTCCCTCCTGCCTTCCTGACTTAACAGGCATCAGATGGCCAGTGCAGCTGGGCTCAGGAGTTTTGTCTCCTCCCCTGCTTGCCACTGTGATGCTGACAGTGGGTGCTCTGTGTGCTCCTGCCCCTTTCTGAGCTTTGCTCTGCGTGACGCAGCTTCAGCACTAAAAGGTCTGGTTTTTGGAGAGGCAGAGAGCTCACTGTGCCTCACAAGTGTTCACCCTGCCTTGGACCTGAAGTCTGAGGAACATTTGAGGGTTCTGTGTGGAAAGCTGTTCCTGGGAAAGCCCCTGTCCTGGGACTGACCACAGTTGTCAGTCCTTTGGCTGTGCCATTCCCTGCCAGCATCCTTGGCCATGAGCTGCTCTGCCCAACTTCATTCTGCCACTGGCCCAGAGATGGTTTTGTGAGGACTCAGTGAGCCAGAAACAAGGAGCAGCATCCCTTATCTCCAAGGAGCACCTGTTGGCCTGAGTGTGTCACCAGCCCTTTGGTGGAGTGTGTTTGCCCACAAGTGGGCTAAACCCAGGCGTGTGCCAGCACGTGGATCCCTTTGGTCCTCAGGCAGTGACATGGAGTGTAGCGGGGTTTGGAGGTCACCATTCCTGGTCTCTGCCTGTGTCCCTGGGCTACCCCTCCTGCCAGATGTGCCAACAGCTGCTCTCCTTTGCCTTGCAGCCTGCTGGAGAGGAAGGAGCTGTGGCGCAAACAGATGGAGGAGCGGCTGCGGAACCTGCCAGATCCCGACACGCCGCCTGGACACACCATGATGCCGGAGGACCAGCGGCTGGAGACCCTCAGCAACCTGAAGCAGAGTAAGAGGGAAAAAAAATGTGCATTCCAGCTCAGAGAAACAGGCAGTCCCAGCCAGGATAAGGGAGAAGAGAGTTGTGGGGCACAGATTCCTGCCACTTGAAAAGTTGCCTGGAATAAGGCATATGCAGGCAGGATGTGAGCTGTGTGAGTGGAAAGAGCAGTCAGTCTCCTGCAGAGACCTGCAGGTTACAGGAGTGGCTCTCTGGAGCAGGCTTGTCCAGTGGACCTGATGTTAGGGTTACTATTATTCCTGAAATGTTAGAAAGATTTTGGCTGGAATGGACCCTCAGAGGTCTCTAGTCCAATCCTTGGTCCTTCAAAGCTGGAGCAGGTCCTTCAGGTCCTCATCCAGCTGAGCTTTGAATAGAAGCATTCTAGGTCCATGTTCCAGTGCTGCAAACATTTTCATGGCTGGGGATGGGGTCATAGCATTAAGAAAAGAATGGATTAATTTGGTCTTCAACTTGTCTTATTTCTCTTTTTACAGGCCAGGAGCAGCTGATAAAGGACCTGGTTCTGCTGCCAATGCGTGGAGACTCCCTCAAGATGCAGAACAGGCGGGTAGATCTGGAGAGGAAGCTCTCCCAGATAGAAGAGGCAATCAAAATTTTCTCGAGGCCGAAGGTCTTCATCAAGCTGGACTCCTGAGCCAGTGGGGCCACAGGTGTGCTGTGCTGCTCTGCATAAACATCCTTCCTTGCTGTGCAGGAATGGACATCACTTTAGAAGGGAAGGAGAGGAAGGCATGTTCCAGACCCTGGGCGCATGCAGGTGCTGGTACAGTGTCCAGTGTTCAGCTGGCATCCTTTGCTCACCCTCCAGTGCTGTGTCTTGTCCACAGAAAAGGGAGGGAGATGACCTAATATACTCCTTGCTCAGTGGTCTGGAGAACAGTTGTCTCTGTGCTGCTTGACTTCTCCCAGATCAGCTCTCTGCTCTGGATCCATGCCATCACCTCTCATTTTCCCATTTTTTCCCACTTCTAGAAACTAGTAGGAGGTCTCCTGTGCTGTGCCTGCGGTGTTCCTTGTCACTGTTTTCCTCCTGAGCTGGACCATGCTCATGGCTCATCCTGAGCACCTGCAGGCTCAGCAGGTTGGGGACAGCTTGGGACAAGGAAGAGGCACAGATCTTCAGTGCTCCCTGCCTGGGGAAGGGCTGAGCTGGCAGGGGGATCTGGTGGGATGTCTGCAGAAGCCTTTGTTGTCTGTGGGGCAGGAGACACTCTTAATAAATCATCATTTCCATCTCTCAGTGTTTGTGCAGCTCCCAGTTGGCCCAGCAGGGCCTGAGGAGTGGTGGTGGGCAGCAAAGACCAGCAGCACTGGCACAGTGCAGGCAGGGACCTGTGCAGACCTTTGTGGGGATCCTGCTGCATGAAGCGAAGGAAAATGGGAGAAGGGATTGTTTTAGAAGGGATTGCTGGGGGGTTTGGTGCATCCCCTGCCACAGCTTGGAGCCATGTCCAGCTGAATTAGGAGAATCTCCAAGGACGGGGTTGCCACCACCACCTTGCTGAGGCTCTGTCCCCAGACCCTTTTTCCCCTGAAGTCCCACCAAACTTTCCCTTGTTGCAGCTTGTGCTGTTGCCCCATCTCTTTTCCTTGTGTGGAGTGGGGTTACTGCACACGGATCCCCAAGCAGCTGCCTTGTTACAGGGGTGACTCCATGCTGGGCAGGATTTTGTGGGGTGGGGATTTGTGGAGCATTCCAGCCCTGCTGGCGCTCTGCGGTGCCCTGGGATGTCAGGGCTGGGCTGACACTGCTGCCAAGGGCCAGGGAAACTTTGGGCACTCCAAGGCTGGAGGAGGTGAGATGCCAACCAGAAAATCACCCCACATGATCCTGGTGCTGCCTCGGGGCAAACACCACAGCCAGGCTGAGCCGGCTGGATGGGAGCAACCAGGGGCCATGGGCACAGCCCCCGGGCACCTCCCTGCCCAAAACAAGCCTGGGCTAACCAGCCCTGCTGTCAGATCTGCTCTCAGGTCTGTCTGGGCCCTGGCTGCGTGCTGTGTGTCCTCAGCCCTCGCTGCTCTCCCTGCCTGCCCTCGGTGCTGATCCAACCTGGCTGCTCCTGTGCGGCTGCTGGCAAGATTCTGGCTACAGCAGCACAGGGAGCTGCATGTGGTTTGGGTTTTGGGAATCAGCAAAGGCAATGGGACACAACCCTCCTTTCCTGTAGAGGTGACCAGCTCTGCTGCCAGGCAGGGTGTGCACCCAGCATCACCCCAGGGGAGACAGTCCAGGGCACGTCCCATGGGGTTTACTCTGGGAGAGCCCCTGTGCCATGAAGGGTCTTGCTCCCCAAGCACTCGTGTCCTGCTTGGAAAAATGGGCTGGAAAGCACTGCCTTCAGATGCCCACTCCCTGCCAGACCTGTGCCTGGGCTGCTTCACTGGCAAACGTGGCTGGGGGTCCTGTCAGGTTGGGCCACAGTTGTTGAACAAAATTTGAATGGGATTTCCAAGCAAGGCTCATTGCATCAGGCCATCATGCCAGGTGGCTGCCCAAAGCAGCCTGGACATGTGCCATGGCACAGGGAGGTTTAGCGGGAGGGATGTGCTCCAGCATCCCTCCAAACCCCCCTTTCCCCATGATGGGCCTCACTGGGGCCACCCAGCACAGCAGAAAAGCCACAACGTGTGCCAAGGCCAAGGCTGCCACTCCCAGGCACTGCCACCAGGGCTGGGGTCCCTGCCTGCCGCCCCCTCCTCCCTGTGGTGACACGAACCAGGGACAAACGCGGTGCTTTCTAGAAAAGGTTTTACTGTCCATTGCAATATATTAATTGATGATGCATATTTCGAGAAAACAATTAAAAATCCCCGCTTGCTTGGAAGGGGAGGCAAGGGGGCTCGGAGGGGCAGTGCCCGGCGTGAGCAGGCGCCGCAGCAGGGCTCGCGGGGACGCGGGTGGTGGGAGAGGGCAGTGGGCAGCCCCACTCCACCCCTGCCCGCCCGCTGCGTCATCACCCTGGTGTCCACATCCAGCCGGGGTGAGCGGAAACCCGGACAGCTGCCGAGTGGCACAGGGACCCCACGGCTATAGGGTGAGGAGGGTGCCGTCCTCCCGCCCGCTGCCCCGGCCGGGGCTGCCGTCGTGGCTGCCCAGGGACTGCAGGGAGCCCCGCGAGCTGTGCGGGGACAGGCTGCGCTGGAGGGGTCCATCAGCGGGGCCCCCGTTGGGGCAGCCCCCAGGGGTGTAGTGGGAGGCGCTGTCGCTCTCGATGACCAGGTCGCCCTCCTCGTCGCTCTCGGCCGTGCTGTAGTTGCTCAGGTACTGCGAGGCCGGGCTGGGGGTCTGCTGGCTGGGGGTGCTGTCCGTGGACATGCCGGAGCTGCCCGAGGCCTTGCTGCTGCGGATGACGTTGTTGCGCTGGTTGGCCGGCTTGACGGTGATGATGAGGTTGTGGCTGTTGGCCACCATCATGTCCGTCACTTGGTCCAGGGACTTGCCGGCCACGTCGATGCCGTTCACCTCCAGGATCTCGTCGCTCACCGCCAGCAGCCCCGTGCTCTCGGCCAGGCCGCCCTTCACCAGGCGGGAGATGAAGATGCCGGGCACCTTCTCGACGCCCTGCGGGGCCACGCGCACGCTGACGCCGTCGCGGATGTAGAAGCCCAGCGGCTTGTCGGAGCCGTGCTTGTGCAGCCGCACGCGGCGGTGGGTCTCGGGCAGGATGTCCACGTCGATGATGGAGGAGATCTGGCGGAAGTCCTGGGGCATCCCGATGAGCAGGTGAGGCTTGGCCCGGTAGTGCACGGGGCGCAGCAGCCCCTTCTTCTTCCGCTGCAGGGAGTTGGAGGCGAAGACGCTGGCGTCGGACTCTGCTGTAGGGAGCGAGGGAGGACACAGGTCAGGCACTGCAGCCGCCTGGGGATGAGACCGTGTGCCCTTGGCCCCAGGGGCTGGGGGAGCTGGCAGCAGAAGGGCCCTGCTCACAGGTCTCACCGGCTTTTCCTCCCCAGAGCATCACCCTGGCTTTCCCCGCAGCCTGTCTCCGCTGGGGCCCATCTCCTGGGATTACCCAGCATACACAGGCCAGGATTAGTGGGATCCAGGCAGTGATTCAGCCTTAATCACACTTTAAGCCAAACTCTGCCGTTTAACACTAGAGCTGCCAGCCCTGATGGCCTGGGAGCTGCAGCCATGCCCCAGTTTGGGTTTGGGGACAGGGGACCCTCCCATAGGAGGGGTGCTGCAGTGGCAGCCAACTCCCTGAGAGTCAGTCCAGCCCTGGGAGCCACCACCAGAGTCCCCGGGCCCCACTAGAGCAGGGTCATCACTGGCATGGGCTGGGGATGGCTGCCACTATATGCTATAGAACCTCGCCATCCCCAAGGTCAGAGACTTCCCAGCTCCTGAAGATCCTTCCCAGGGCCGCAGCATCCCCAGGGCCACTGAACATCCCAGACTGTGATTTGTGCCAGTGTCTCTCATGCACCTTCACACAGGCTTTGACACTCCTCCTGGACCCTGCCCTGCCAAGCTGCAACACATCCTGCTTGGCTCCATCCACCAAGTGCTGAGGAGCATCCCCTGGTTCCTCTCCAGTTTCCCCCATCTGTTTCCATGTGGGAATCCAGATCTGGATGCTGCATGGTCAGCACATTCCCCACAGTGACCCCCACCAGCACCCAGCCCCTGCTCCAGCCTCAGGAGTGCTGGGGATGTCCCCAAGCCCAGGGGACATGGGATTTCTCCCTAGTCAAACCAGCCTGCCAGGGCTCCTGGCTTATAAATATCCTCCTGCACACACAGCCTGGCATATTTTTAGCTCGGGGAAGGGCGGCGGAGGCTTTCCCACAGCTATTTCAGCACACGAGCTCCTCTCCAAGGGGCACAGAGTGGCTGGGCCAGGCAGGTCCAGCACCCCATGGACGAGCCTGCTGGTGGCCCTGGCACTGTCCCAGGCCCACGAGCCTTGGCCCAGCCAAGGAAGAGCAGTGCCACCGTCCCAGCCAGGCTGCCCCCACTGGGATGGCTTCACCCGAGGGGGTGATGGCTCAGAGGGGAAACCAACCTTTGCTTTTTGCCCCCTTGCAGCAGGACTGGCTGCTGCAGGACCCACTGGTGGGTGCACACCTACCCACAGAGGTGTGCACAGCTCCCCGTGCCCGGCGCTGTGAGAGGCTCTGCAGCCACATTCCCCAGCGACCCAGACCGGTTCAACGACAGCCCAGCCTTGGGATGACCTGGATCCATTTTAAATCAGCTGTGACTCACCCAGGGCTTGCTCCTGGCCTCCCTGCACACCTCCCCGTGGTGCTGCTGGCCCCTTGGCCCCTCTCCCGCAGGCACAGCCGGGTGCTGGGGTTTGCTGGTGCTGCCTCCTCGCCCTCCTTATCACACTGCCCGCAGTGCCAGGGCTGTGGCTCCTGCTCTCCACCCTGTGCCGTCTGGCATGGTCAGTCACAGGCCCTCACAGGCTTTTTCCAGCAGCAAAGGTGGCTCTGGGAGCAGGAGCAGCCCTGGCACACCCACCCCTGCACTGGCTCTCCGTGCCACAGCCTGGATCCAAGCATTGCTCCAGGAACGGGAGGGTTTGGCACTGGCAGCGACAGCCCCTGAGCACAACACAGGCTCCAGCAGCCTGGATTGCTGCTGCTGGCCCCACACCACGTGGCCACAGAGAAAATGCACATCCAGGGTGTCCCACACCACCCTGATGCAAAAGCCCAGGAAAACTGGCACAGCAGGCAGGGCTGGTCATCGGCATCACCCCTCGCCCAGAGACTTTGTAGCACTAAGATGAGCTGGAAACACAGAATCGCTCTGATGCTGTGCCAGAGAGGGAAAACTGGGGCTCTGGGTCAGGTTCTGCCTCTGTGCACTGCTGACTGATGATGCTACTAAAGAGAAAACCTTGGTGCTACTAAACCAGGTAGAAGGGGACTGGGCTCGTTTTCCCTGCAAAGAGAAGCACCCAGAGTGTTTGTCACTGGGAGGCTCCCATCCTTGCCAGGATGCTGCTATCAGGGTGATTCCACGCACCTGCACAAGGAAGTGGCTCTCTGGGAAGATGCCACTAAGGTCAGGGCAAGCCCCTGGGCTGCCAGGGAGGCAGCAAGTCTCTTCCCGACACCGAAAATTCAGCGGCACCCTGAGAGCTCTGCCAAAACAATGGCTGTTGCCTCCTCAGGGCAGGGAACTGGCTGGGACTCCCAGCATGGCGCTCACAGGAATAACACGGGTGTTTTCAGGGAGCCCACGCAACCTTGGCTGAGAAACCATGACTTCAAAGGGGTGAA